AGCTTATCATAGCAGGAAAAGTAGAAGCAGAATATTACATATGTATCTCCGCTATGCCGTGGCAAGTCAGTGACACCATCAGCTAATGCGCTGACGAGTAAAGGAATAGTTCGGCAGGACTGATATCACGAAGCCCTGACAGGATTGAATGTACACAGACGTCATGTGTTGCCTTGTGGTAATATTACTATGTCTGTTGAGTCATATACAACTTCATCTGTACCTCCTTTAACGTCCAAATGACCATCCCCTGCACAAAGCCGCTCACATACTACAGTGATGCGCCTCTGATGATTCTCCCCACCACTTCGTGGCTTTGCAATTTTGACTATCATCAATACCTTAGACCCGTTCTTCTTTCCTGAAGTCTCTCTCTAAAGGCCAGGAGGGGGCGGTACCTATTCTCTGTGTTAGCAAAGTTTCTCAGTCAACGTTGAAGTAATGGTACTTACAGCACCGTAGCCTCCTCCAGTGCCTGGAGGCGCGCCTGAGGGAGGGGGAGGGGGAGCAGAGCTCGGAGGAGGTGGAGGAGGAGCAGCCTCGCTGGGAGGCGGGGGTGGAGGGGATGCCGCTGCTCCCGGGGGCGCGGGTGAGCCTTGCTGCTGTGCTTGTGCGGCAGCATAGTACTGCTGGTACATTTGAACGTAAGCGGCATATCCGCCATAGGCAGCGTAAGGATCCTGACTGCCGTAGTACTGTGCGTACTGAGCGGCGTAGTCGGCTCCAGCGGCAGGGCTGTTAGAACCGCCGGCAGGAGCAGGGCTTGCTGATTGCCCAGCGTTGTGGCCGCCATAGCCGCCGCCGCCGCCGCCGCCGTGACCACCGTGACCACCATGGCCGCCGTGGCCTCCGTATCCGGAGTTATAGCCGCCGCGGTCGCCGCGATCACCACCGTGACCGTGGCCTCCATATCCGCCATGGCCGCCATCGTGCCCCCGCGAGCGGTCGCCATAGCCCCCACGGTCACCATAACTACGAGGAGGTCTGCTCTTGAACTCTTCGTACTGCTCTTTGACATTTGCAATCAGATCCTCGCAAAGCTCCTTGGCCTTCTCAACCATCTTAGGGTCAGGTCCGCTATTCAGAGTCAGTACCTATGCGTTAATGTCGGCAAGGCGACAATGCACTTACGCGACGTGAAGATACATGTCCTCGTCACTCTCGTGATTGGTGGCTGCCTCCAGATACCCGGAACCGCGTCCTTTGATCTGGACGCGACACTGAGTCTCCTGTTGGATGTGCTTGACGTAGGCACCGCCGTGGCCAACAACTTGAGCGCGGAGGTTGAATCCGGGGACGGACTCCAAGCCGATAGGGATCTTCTCCTCGGGCCATTTGCGCTGCAATATGTTAGACACAAATTTTCGAGACTGATTTGCATACATACTCGGCCATATTCGTCCCTCTCAACCTGCTCCTGGTCACGTCGACGGAAACGACGCTCATCTACCAGCGCGGGAAGTTCCTGTTTCATAAGTTCCTCAATCTTTGCCACGGCCTGCTCAAGTCCAGTCTTGGATGTACTTGTGACATGCAAGTACAAAGGCGGATTCTGAGGAGAGAGTCAGTGCGTGTTACTATACCATGGTTTTCGAAGTTGACATACCGCCGCAGTCGCCATGCTCTTGTCGGGATAGTAGTTTCCTCGGGTAGTAACATCTTGCAAAGTCAACCTTTGTTCCTAATTAGACGTAAAAGTGGGAGGTGTATCGTACCAGCACCAGTTTCTTCTTTGATCTAAATCAAGCAAATGGAGTCAGCAGGTGCCAAAGAGGGGTGATCTGTGCGAGCTATCGTGCCAAGTAAGCAGGATGATCTCGACACAAATCTGTTCACATGTAGGAAAGCGGAATGCGCTCGAGATGAGGCCTGGGAAGGAAGTATGATCAGTGGTTTTGCACAGGAGTATTTACCATCTTCTGAGTCGACCCCTTGGTCAAGAGGTATCTATTACGAAGGTCGTTGACTTCAATGTCTTTGATGAAGTCGCCGTCGGCGATGTACATCTCTCCATTGATCGTGTTGGCCGGATCGGGCGATTGGGCACCACCTGTAGGAGAAGTGTCGGTCTTGATCGGGGGAACGTCGACATGCTGAATGCCCTTCTTCGCTTGGAGTTGCGCGTTGATTCGCGCGGCCGCGGCAGCTATGAGTCTATTAGCCATTCATTCTACAGCCAAAGCGAGGCGCAACCCGTACCAGCCGCAGCAGCGGCATCTACCGGCGACTTCTTCGGTTCTGTCGCCTGGTCATTGGGCAGAGGGCTACGCTCTCTTGCCGACTCTGAACGTCTTCCAGGCGGCGATCTAGAGCGGCGGTCGAATCTCGAAGCCTTGCGAGGCTCGGGTTCGGTTTGGTCGAATCGCGAGCGCTTGGCGGAGCGTCGCTCGGTGTCGTCCATTGCGACGTCTGGGTTGCAGTGATGTTGAAACTATAGTCGCTCGTTTTCGATTTTCGCGTTCGGCGTGCGGTTGGGTAATGCGCAAGCACCTGGCGATCGATATGTGGGAAGTAAAAGATTGGGATAGTAAAATTTACGAGGTATGAAGCTCTTTGGAGGTGGAGCCTTGGAGAGACGGACGGGCCAAAATAAAGTGGCTTGGCCCGTGCGGCAGGACGATTCTGTCGACGGTCGTTCCCATGGGCGTCGATGAGCCTGGCCGTCACGGATTTAGCGCCTCAGGTGTCAGACGTAGCTGCTGTTTTTAGTCTGCACCAGCCACATGGTAGCATCGGAGCGATTATCGGCAGGAATGGAAGAATGCGGCCAACGGGACCATCCTCACACTTGACGCTCTACCTATTCCTCTTCAAGCGACACAGCTCACAATTGATGTTTTTCCTGGTCTGATATTCTTTGGCTCAGTGACCTTGGCATGGAATCTGTGGGTCTCAAAGCTTACGGTCATTTGAGTGTTTCGACGGGAGTTTAAGATGTCCTGAACCAAATGCCTATCTGCAGTTCGGATATTGTCTTGCTAACAACAATCAATTCGCAAATGAAAGATGACAACACAGTTGCAAACACGAAGTACTTAGGTACATGATCTCTCCTGCAACTACTGCGTAGAAGTAGTTGAACTGTAGACTAGCTTCTGTTGCAAAGTCTCTCGGTTCCAGGTCACTGACTCAAGGTGAGGTACCGAGATAGGTCTACTTTGCATGATACTGAGAGTAAGCAATACGTCTTTGAACTCAGATTGACGGCCAGATGCGATTTGAGCGGTTGCCTAGTGACAAAACAATTCAGTACCCGAAACCTTTCTTTTCAAGCTGTCCATGTGTCTGAGATATCCTCACTTGAACCTGTGTTGGCTACTGACTACAAAAGGTCCAGTACTGTAGGATCAATAATGTGTGCTTCTCTCATCCCAATCCTACCTTTCTCTATCATAAAAACATGGTGATTACTTTGGAAATGCTGCTACAGGTCAGCAAGTGACACAGTGCCGGATGTAACCCCGCACCCTCCAAGCCGACCCCGCGATGCAGTGTCAGTAGGGAGTCCACTCTCTCGGTGAAAAACCCTTGTCAGTAGCTGATCCGTGCCCCTCTACCCCTGCGAACAGCCAGCTCCCCTGCTTCCGCGCCTCCGACTTGCCTCCGAAGAAATCGTCCCCCAATCTCCTCAAATTTTCCCAGTGGGAACTGACACAGACGGTGAGTCAGGGTGCTTCTTCCTTATCTCCCCCAAGCCATTGAACCTCGGAAGCTCACACTACTCCAAGGCTCTCTTGAGATTTCCTCTTTCCTCTGGTCCAAAAAGAGAGCAATTGGCTTGTTCTCGCGAATTTGAACCTGGAAAGATGGCGTCTCGTCGCCTCCTTTCGACCTCGCTCTGGCGGGCCGCCGCCGCCCCGGCTCAAGCGACATCGCTCTCTGCCGCCGCACGATGGAGCTCAACCACCAGCTCGACCTCTGCCATCGCCTACAAGGCTCTTCGACGTCGCTCGGCGCCTCTGCCCGTCAGCGACAGCCCGCCCGCCTGGTCCGCCCAGGCCGCCGTCTCTAACATCCTCTACGACATGCCCTCCCCGTCGTCGCAACCCCCGAAGCGTCACATCCTCAACTGCCTGGTCCAGAACGAGCCCGGCGTCTTGTCCCGCGTCTCCGGCATTCTCGCCGCCCGCGGCTTCAACATTGACTCCCTCGTCGTGTGCAGCACCGAGGTCGATGACCTCTCGCGCATGACCATCGTCCTGACCGGACAGGATGGTGTTGTCGAGCAGGCCAGACGCCAATTGGAGGATCTCGTCCCCGTCTGGGCCGTCTTGGACTACACCAACGCCGCCCTGGTTCAGCGCGAGCTTTTGCTGGCCAAGATCAACATTCTTGGACCCGAGTACTTTGAGGAGCTGCTCGCTCACCACCGTGAGATGACGGCTGTCGACGTCGAGGAGCATGCGCTCGAGGGCGAGCAGCAGCAGACTCTGGAGGATGTCGCCAAGGACTTCCACCCCAGCAAGTTGGCTGTCAGTCAGGCATTGCGCCACAAGCACGAGCATCTCAAGTCCATCACCTACTTCGCCCACCAGTTCGGAGGAAAGGTCCTGGATATCAGCACCAACAGCTGCATTGTGGAGGTGTAAGTCTACTCTACTCCTCAGCCGACGGAAGCCGGAAAAAAAAAAGCATTTACTGACAATCGCGCAGCTCCGCCAAGCCGTCCAGAATCGACTCCTTCCTGAAGCTCATCGGACCCTTTGGTATTCTCGAGTCCGCCCGCACTGGTCTGATGGCCCTGCCCCGTTCCCCGTTGTACGGACCCAACGAGGAGACGATTATTAAGGAAGCGGATGAGGTTGTCGACGCTAGCCAGCTTCCCCCTGGTTAAGCTATTTTGTATTAAAGAATATCCGGCGTTGGTAAAGAAGGGGTATTGCCATCTTTTTCAATGCTACCAAGTTGCTACACAATCTGTACCATTTGTTTGCCAAAGAAAGAAACGCCTCGCCTTTTGTTGTAGCTGTGAGCCTTTTAAACGCCGACACATATCCCATTTAGATCTTGCCCTTGTTCACAACGAAGCCCTCGAGGGCAGCTGTTCAATCGTTAGCGTCGTGAAGTCTGCCGAGAGATATGGGAATTGAACTTACAAACAGCAGCCCAGAGACGGTTCTCGGCCTCGGGGAAGACCAAGGAACGAGGGCTGTAAAAGACCTCATCGGCTACCTCCTCGGGGTGACGAGGCAGGCAGTGCATAAACTTCCAGCCCTCCTTAGCACCGCCTCGCTTGGCCAGGTCGTTGGTGATCTGGAAGCCGGCAAAGGCCTTGAGGCGCTTCTGGGTCTCGGTCTCCTGGCCCATGGAAACCCACGTATCGGTCACCAGGATGTCGGCGTTTTTGCAGGCCTCCTCAGGGACGGTTGTCTCTGTGAGCTTACCGGGAGAGGCAACGCCCTTGGCAGCAGAGTTAATGACGGCCTTCATGGCCTCGGGAATGCTGTAGCCAGTAGGCGAGGCCACGGAGATATCGACGCCCATCTTGACGCAGCCGATGGCCAGATCAAAGAGGACATTGTTGGAGTCTCCGATCCACGCGACCTTCATTCCTTTCAGGCCCAGATCGGCCTTGTCTGAGGTGGCAGAAGCAGGGAATGCCTCGTGGATAGTCAGGAAGTCGGCGATAATCTGCAGAGGATGGTAGTCGTCGGAGAGCGCGTTGATGACGGGGACGCTAGAGTCCTTGGCCAGCCCGGCGACATCAGAGTGAGGACCGACACGGGCGACCATGCAGGAGGTCATGGAAGAGATGACCTTGGAGGTGTCATACAGAGACTCGTTGACCTAGACAGCCTGTTACTTGAATGCACTCCATCTCATGTGAGCTTCAGTCAACGTACCCCGAGCTGAATGTCATCCTTGCCCAAGAACATGGGATGACCACCCATGAGAGCCACGGCAGCTTCCGTCGACACGCGAGTACGGGTACTGCGCTTGCTGAACATCATGGCAACGGTCTTGCCGGTCAAGCTCGATGCGAGCGCCTGGGGCACATTGCCGGACTTGACTGCGGTTTTGTTTGAGGCGGCGTTGCGGACGAGGGTAGCGAACTCGGCCGGGCTCAAGTCCGCAATGGACATGAGATGGCGCGGGCCGGTCGATTGTGAGTATGCGCGGCTCTGGGCGCCGTTGAGAGCTTGGCGAGTGACTCGGAAAGCTGTTTGCTTCATGGTGGGCGACTTGGTGTGTCGGGCTTCGATGTCTGAAATGTGAGAAGTCGTAGACCGCTTGGTGAAGGCAGATTCAAGTCAATTAAGGGCCAATGGATGAAGCTTGGATCTAAAGTTGTAAACAGGAAGAAAAAAAATGGCGTGTGAGTCGAAGTGGTGGTCAATTGATGAGTATTAAGAGTTGATTGAGTCACGATTGGATTGGATGGATAGCTTCAGTGAGAGACCACAACGGCCGGGACCTCCACAAAGTCTCCTGCGGGCTGCAAACTCAACGAACTCCTCACCGCTTTACACCGAAAATTTCAGAGTCACCCTTTGCCTGTAAATCACAGGGCGTTACAGGGCGTATGCAAGGTCATAATGGAAGGATAGCACGATAAGGATTACAGAGGCGAGAATCTGACACTGTGTACCTAGATAAGGTACCTTTCCTAATGGCATTTCCAATCTGTCGAAGGCGCCGGAACCGGAACTCGCCAACAACATAAGTTGGCCTTAGTCCGGGCAGTCATCGGTGGGCAGTGATTTACTACTGCAACTGCAGCAGTGCAGGCTGAGGGTGCACAGGTGGTGCATGTGTGCCTGAGAAGGAAGGAAATGGCCCGTGCCCACCCGGCCAGGCACTGGAGGGCGATTGAGGCGTGGGAGGGAAGATCATCCCCAGCCATCCACATGGGCGCTGAGTGGAAAGTCCGCCCTGGTGACCAGATCTCGTCTCATTGGTTTCAGCTGACCTCCACCCCGGCCTCTTCAACTGCACTGCCCGTCCTGGGATGAACCAAGTTACTTGACATCATCACCATTACGAATCCCGACTATCTGGGTTGTCTGGGCAAGATCGGAACCCCGTACACTTCCTCTCTGCATGATTTCCTTTTGTACGACTTTTCGTGGTTTCATTACTGTTTGTCATCTCGACCGGCGATGACGGACTTTCTTGCGCTCTGATCCGATAACGACACACCACAAACTGTGATCACGAGAATACTCTACACGCGATGGCTGAAGACGAAGAAAGATCGCCGCTCCTGGCGGGCAAGGGCAAGGGCAGGGCCGAAGATGACTCCTCATTGTCCGAATCGGCGCCTCTGTTGTCCAGCTCTTCTGCGACGCCCCGATACGATGGCGAGCAAGATGACCCAGAGAGGTCTCGCGCCGCCTCCCTCGCTTCGAACCCGCCGAGCACGACCACTAAGAGTTCTGTACGATGGGCGTCAGTGATATCCATCACCGTATTGATATTGTTGGTATTTGGTATCATGGCCGGTTGCTTCTTCGTACCCTCGGCAGTTCAAGAGTATGCGAAGCAGGCTGCCGTCGTCGAGCCGACGAATCTGGCCCTAGAATCAATCACGACGGATGGTGTGCGGGCACGTGTTCAGGCCAACTTCAAGCTTGATGGCTCTAGGGTCCAGGACACGACATCTCGAAGGATTGGAAAGTTTGCAACTTGGATTGTGAGGCAATTGGGAACAGAACAGACAAAGGTTGGCGTGTTCTTGCCAGAATACGACGACGCTTTGCTCGGCACTGCTGTTGTGCCGCCACTCACCATTAGTATCGTCGATGGCCAAACTACCGCGATCGATTTCATCGCCGAACTGTCACCCGGTGACGCCGAAGCGTACCGAAAGATTGCCAACGAATGGCTAGATGGAAAGCTCGACCAGCTAAGGGTGCTTGGAAAGGCCAACATTCCACTCAAGTCCGGAATCCTCCCACTCGGCACTCATTCAGTGAGCGAGGTCTTGGTATTTGAAGGTCAATCACTCTACCGCTCCTTTGCTTCCCTGTACTTTGGAGAAAAAGTTCTGCTTTAAATACCACTATGCTTCAATCACAACATGCTCCTTCAAGCTCCATACTGATGCCTCATTTAGCGAACCAAATCCCAACGTTGCCGCAGTATAACATTTCCCGCCTCAACTTCCGAGACCTGCCAGACTCGGACGGCCAGCGAACAGCTGTCGGCGCCGACGTAGCCATCACCGCCTACAACGAGTTTCCCGTCAGCTTAGATGTACCGGAACTTGGCTTTGAAGTTCTGGTTCCCAACTGCAATTCTTTTGACCCCTACATTCTTCTTGCCGACGCCACAACCAAGCCCCTCTCAATCAAGCCACGAACCGATGTCACTGTCAACGTCTCTGGTATCATCCGAGAGCTCCCAAAGTCACTGACAAGAGTTTGCCCTAACTCGAAGTCATCACCTCTGGACAAATTCTTGGATCAGTACATGCACGGCGAGGCTGCTACTGTCTACGTTCGTGGTCGCAAGATGCCCGATTCAGACACCCCAGACTGGGTCGGCGACATTCTGTCCGAGATCACTGTTCCTGTTCCCTTCCCGGGTCAGGGTTTTGACAACCTCATCAAGAGCTTCTCGCTCACCGATGTGAACTTTCAATTGCCCGATCCTATGGCGGACCCGGATGACCCTGATGGATCGCCAAAGGTTTCGGGTACGGTTGAGGTTCTCGCGAGTCTTCCGAAAGAGATGAACTTTGACATCAATGTCACGGATTTGAGAGCCACGGCAGACGTTATGTATCAGAACAAGAAACTCGGGGAACTCAACCTCGACAAGTGGCAGTCCGCTAACTCAACAAAAGAGGCTGGCGACGAGAAACACGAGCCTCTCCTGAGAATCACGTCCCGGGTCATTGATGCTCCCCTCAATATCACCGATGGCGATGTCTTGACGGACGTTATGCAGAGACTTCTCTTCGGCGGAAAGCAGGTCCTACTGGACGTCAAGGCCAGTGTCGACATTCGAGTTAATACGGCTCTTGGAAACTTGGTCTTGAAGGATGTCCCTGCTGAGGGCAAAATCCCGGTAAAACGTCCGTACTAAGTCCGGCACTGTTTGTCTTATCGTGGGTTGATTTCTTATGTCCCTGCTCACTAAGGGGAACTGAGCGAGCATGAAGGCTTACACTGGTGCAGCTCTCCCTGGCGACACCTTTGGCAGCATTCACCCACAAGTGGGAGACGTGAAGATTATCAGTACCTCTTCCTCAGCGATGACGCTTGAGGCGTTGGTCAACATCACAAATCCGACACCGTACACAGCCTCCATACCATATATCAACATACATATTGTGAGGGACGGTTTCGTGCTTGGCAGTGCTACTGCCGAGAATCTGACAGTCGATAAGGGCAACAACACAAATTTGCTTGTGAGAGCAAATTGGGACCCAACCGCCGAGGGCGAAGCTGGCCGCAAGATTGCCAGTGATATGATATCAGAATATCTCTCCGGACGCAATGTCACCATAGACGTCAAGACTCATCGAGGCACAATTCCGACTGCCCCTCTCATTGGCGAGGGCCTATCAAAGCTGAATATCAGCATTGCCGCTCCGAAGTTGGACCTTCCCGGAGAAGGCGACAAGAAGGGACACTTCATTAGAGATGCGACTTTCCACGTGCTTTCCTCTACAGCGACGTTTACCCTAGTGTCTCCGCTACGGTACAACACCATTTATGTTGATTGGATCAACGCTACAGCGTTGTATAATCACACAGAGCCGGTCGGCCGTATTGTCTATGGCCTGCCCTTTGCGGCGCCGCCGGGAATGTCTGTAACGCCCAGGCTGCCTGTTGACTGGTCTGCAGGATCAGTGGGCTATGATGCCGTGAAGAGAGCGATTGGAGGTTCCCTAACCCTTGATGCGAGTGCGAATGTCACTGTACGGATTGGGAATTGGAAGGATACGGTCTGGTACGAGGGCCAGGGAATAGGTGCAAGCATTCGTTTGTAAACGATGATTGGCTTTGGACTTGAATATGGCGTTGATTGGTTTATCAATTGGTTTGGGGGGCGGCTGTCGGCGCCTTGTGCGCAAAGCGACAAGAAAACACAAGTCGTAACTTGTATATCAGTACAATGCATAGAACAGCCACATGGCTATGTGAATACACTCAATATGGTCAATTGATATCTCTCGAAATTTCGATGACATAAATCCGATTTCCACACATTCGAAGGGGTCTACGGATACTTGTTGAATGTAAACCGTTGATGGTGCTATGGGCTGCCAAGTTCAGATACATGTAGATATCTTCTTGTCCATGTCTCCCTCTATCACAATAAAGCATTGAGAGACCTCTCAAGGGCCCAGGTAATGGTATAGTTCCTATAATAGGCCCCAACTATTCACTTGAGTCATCTCTGGTTAACGACTATAAAATTGATCTGAATCCTGAACAATCCCTTAAACCGTCCTTCCGAGTGCTAGGGATGGCCAACGCAGACATCGTCCCTGCACTTGATACCCGACGCGTTTATTACTTCTTCAGCTCCGATATTATTTCTAGAAACATTAAATTGATAGTGAGCGATTAATACAGAGAGTAAATCGAATCCCAGGGGCGAACCGCTGCCCATTCTGTCATGTATATTCCAACACATAGACACGGTGCGCGAGACAGTGCTTGACATGTCTCGCGTCAAATGACCCACTCACTGTCACTCAAGGCTTGAATGCTGGTTCATCAAGACTACTACTACTCTCAACCTCACCTACGTTACAACGTCGAATCATCAATCGATATCATCGTATTATCTACGTATACCGGCTATTTCATAAAACAATCTGCTATTTGTACCAACCGACAGCCGCGGTCATCAATTCCAAGCGTTTGTCATTCACGACCAAACAAAGGGGGCTGCAGTCTCAAATCCAAACACATAACATCTCACATTTACGGACCTCGTCCACGGCACCGGCGCCCCCTTGCACGCGATGCCGAGCATCAACTTCTCCCCTTACGCACCGCGGCGCCGCCGCTCGCCGCGCGTGGTCATCACCTGGGTCGCCGCATGGCTCACGGTCCTGACGCTGACGTGGTGGATCGTGACGCGGCGGTCGTCCGCTGGCCTGGCAGCAGGCGGCGGCGGCGGCGTGGACCAACTCGCGGCGGCCGACGCCGTGATCAAGGGCAAGGAGGTCCCTCCCGAAGCTGGTGCCTGAAGATAACGTCTCTCTCTCTCTCTACTCTGTACATTTCGGCCTTTTTACGACGGCGTGTTATTCCACCCTTTTTGGTTTACGCTTGTTGCCTTTCTCAGCCTTTGGCCAGATCGGCCCTTTAAGCTGTTTTTCGCTGTTTTCTTCTTTTTTCGGTTGTTTGGGCTGTCTGTCTTACATTGCTGGAACATTGGGAAAAGCGCCCGCCCTGTGACAGAACTATGGCTTGTGGCCTACTTCACGGCAAGGTCCGCTGTCATGAGACCCGGACTTTTCCCTCGATATGTGGGCTGATTTGGCAGCCCCGCGGCGGCGGCGGCGGCGGGGCGTGTGCGTCTCGGACGCTTTTGTAAAAACGATTTTGGAATCTGGAGAATGAGGCAATGGTATGGGGCTCGTGGATATTGTCGAGTGAGGCATGGCGCGGGGCGGGAGAAATACCAACACGCATTGCGATTATCGAGGACAGATCACATCACATCAACTATTGCGCCCCCCATCGCGATGATGACGATGGCGGGGGAGGAATCGCGATTTCTGTTAAAACATTCAATATGCCCCTTGATACGCTCTATTCAGCCTCAATAGAATCGTGTAACACAGGAGGTTTGTCGTACTTCCCGCTCGTCAAACGTGGAGGATCGATCCCGATTGCACGTGGGGGCGGGATTCACACTCACGTTGCAAGGGGAAATTCGAGGGGAGGGAAAGACGAACAACCGAAACAGTGACTAGCGGGAAATAAGGGTCGATTGGAATGCAAATTCTCCGACGGAGCTACGGGTCTTTTTGGGCTGGAGATTAAGGTCGCCTAGGGACAGGACTTTGGACTGGGTTCATTGGAACGTCAAAGGGAGACTCAGACCACTGGGGCATGAAGCCATGAGGAGGATTTGGTGAGGCGGACTGGGCAAAAGACACAAGAATCATGTTATGTGTAAGCAAGCAAAACCAACGATCCCGCACCATCGCGATCCTTGAGTTTGACGATAGGAAACAACACGAAACGTGGGCGTTTTTGTCTTCCTTGGGTTCGAGTGGTGAGAAAGGGAGAGAGAGGCGTTTAGCGGATATTACCTCGATCGTTCTATTTCTTCTGCTGCCTTTTCATCTTGTTCGTTGACTACTTCTTTCATTCCTTCCCTGTCATTCATCCGCCTCTGGTCTACACCAAGAACTACGCCAAAAAAGAACAAGTGATCAGACTTTCCACCGCGCACGTGTAGCACCTGATCTTACGGGCTTTTGCTCTACCTATCCTCGCCTGCGGTACATCTTCCGCCTGAACTCAAAAGAGATAAGGAAATAAGGAAAAGTCAACGCCACGCTGGCAGATCGGCCTTTGTTCCAAGCACACCGTTTCCAGGATTAGTCCGGGCCCGGGCTTTCGCTACCGAGAGAGAGAGAGAAAGAGTGAGGGAAAAGGGAATTTCAGAGAGATTTTGCCTTCTAGCAGCAGCGCCGCAGACGCCTTTTCGCGTGCGTACCTTGAAACGGGGCAAAAGAGAGCAAGAAGAAGCTGAAGGAGACGCGGGAGCGGTTCCCAAAGGGTTGGGTTACAAGTGCCGAAGAAAGCTCAAAGGCGAGATCGACTCAAACTCACTCCAGTAGGCGGAGACCTGGCTTTTACGAGTAGCTGAACGCGGGGTACACCAAGTAGAAGGAAGAAAACGTGGGCGCTGAGGCTTTTCTTTAAGCTCAAGAGGTAAATATTGGTTCTTCTTTCCATCTTCAGCTACCTATCTAAGCCTCCGGATACTTATCCTTCATTTAGCTCATACATCTGTTGGCCTACATCAAGGCTTGGCATGAGCATCTCATTACAGCAAGCTCTTCACCAGCTTTCCTTCTCATTCTTACACGAAGGCCCATCTCCACATTGGTGTCACATTTAGCCCAGCATGATGAGTACAGGCGCAGGCAGGTCAGGCATGCTCAACTTCAGAGTCACGCACCCAGACGTCTTCACACACGGCATCTGCGGCCGCAAGGACTGCTACCGCGGCTCACCGGCGGCAGCAGATTGCGAGTTCCACGGCAACGCCGTTCGGGACATCATCAGATCGCGGCGGGACCAGAGACGGGCCCGCTTACAGCAACGGTGCCGGACCCACGGCGGCAGCATCGACATGACACCAACGGCAGCGACGGCGTCCACGTCGACGACGAGCCGGAGCGTCACGCCCCTGAAACGGCAGCCGAGTCAAAGCAGCAGCATCAACAGCAAGCCGGATAGCCCGCTGTCCTTCACCTCGTCCGACTTCTCGGCCGACTTTTCACCGTGCGTCTCGCCGCTGATGGAGGATCTCATGCTGGAGGTCACGGATGCGATTGAGAGCAGCGGCCACACGCCGGAGCGTCTTGCCATGTCGCCGAGGCGGACGACGTCGGCGTTCAACATGGACGACATATTCAGAATGATTGATGAGGCCCAGAGGGAATACGAGAGCCTCGGCGACGCGCCTGTCACACCGGCAAGATCAAGAAACGAAATACCCCGCGAGCCACGCTGGAGCTGGGAGAGCCTACTAGGTCCATCATGACGGCCCCAACGACTTGGGCAACGTAGTAGACAAACGCAGCGGGGTCGGGCCACTTGGCCTTAGCGTTGTGTGGTCACAAAGAAGGGCCATCTTTCCTGTTCCGAAGCAAGATAACAGCATACAAGGGATGCCAGAGTGTACAACTTTGCACCTCCAACTTTTGGAAAAGAGATGAATGGGTATCACAAAGAAAGCGTCAGCAAATCAACCGGGGGCGTCTGAAGAGTTGAACGTTGTGTCAGCAGGGAATAAGCTTCAATTTGGATTGTACATATTAAAGGGTCTGCACCTTTTTCCTGGTCCATGGTCCCGACACCAACCCGATTTAGCCTTTTATTGTAATCGAACACCGGCCTGCCGCTTCGCCGATGATGAGTTCATGTTTGCGTTCTCGCTCGCGTCAAACGTCGGCTTGGCCTCGCGTCGCTTCTCCTCCTCAATCTTCTTCAGCAACTTGTCGGTCTTGCCCTTGCCGCTGCCCTTGCCATGGAACTGGTGACTCATGTGCTTGAAGGCTTCCTTCTGGTCGAGAGATCTGCCGTGATCGTCCACGTACTTGAGCTCCACGTTGGGCTTGTAGTGCTTCTTGAAAAGCTCGTCGACGACGCGTGATTGCTGCAGTTCGCGATGGGCGTTTGCTTGTCGAGCGCGCTCCTCTCTGTCCCTAACAGACATGGAATCCAGTCGGCCGCTGTTTCTGTCGCGCTCTCGCTGGTACTTGGCTCGGTCTTCTTGCTCCCTCTCGAGACGTCTCTTTTCTGCCAAGAATTCGGCCTTTTGGCGTTCGCTCATGTTTCGCTCCGCACCATGAGAGTCTTTGATAAGACCACGCTCTCTGAGTAGTGCTAGAGCTGAACCCATACCGGTGTTGAGTGACTTCTCTTCGTCCACTCCCGTCGCTGCAATCTCTGCAGATGTCTCTCGAGCTCTATCCTCGGGAATTTCATAGGCATCGTCGCCCATCGGGTGATCTTCATCGTCGTCGTCGTCGGCGCCCATGGCCGTTACAGGCTCTACTGAAGTGGACTTTGGCCTCTTTGTTTTGCGCTCCTCCTCCTCTTCAGGCTTCTTCAGATTGGACACGAACTCGGAAATTTCATCGATCACTACACCGCCATTGAGAGCCTCATTGTCCGGCTCATCTACTTGTTCTTTGAGTTGCCGAGCAATGTCCTCGGGCCGGTTCTTCTTCCGCCTCTTTAATGCGCTCTTTCGCTGGATGGCAAGGGAAGCCTGCAAATCGTCGTC